TAATAATTATTATCCTGATAATAAAATTATTATTAGAAGTCAACTAATGTAATATAAAGCAAAATTGGATCTTTTCAATAATATATTAGTATGGGAATGTATTAATAATATTGATCTAATTACTTGATGAATTATGAATTTTGCATAAGCAGTATCTGAATTAACATAATTAGTATAATATATCTTAATAATTCCAATATCATCTGCAGCTTCTGAATATAACTGGTTAGCTTTTGCAAATATTCATAACAAAAAAAGAAATTAGTTAAGTAATAAGCATATTTTTAAATTTATTTATATTTATAGTAATTATAAATTATAAATACCTCCAGATAATCAAAAAAAAATTGTTAAAAAAAGTATTAATAATGAAATAAGTATCAATCAATATTATGCTGGAAATGAAAATGATGAAAACAAATATCAAAATAATAATGAAAGTGAATATCAGGATAATAATAATAATAAATAATTTAATATATTAGATAATAGTAATAATATATTAGAAATATAGAGCAATAGTTATAATTATTAATGAATGTATATAATAGTTATAAAAAATAAAAATTAGTATTAGTTTTTATGAATTCATATTATACATTTGATTGATTACTATTAATTACTATATATGTACATATAGATCATTATTCATATTATATATACATACTATGCGCATAGTATATAATAATAAACTATGCACGTATTTATCCATCTCTAATTATAACAGATTTTTCTTGTAGTTTGCTTAATATTAATTATCTCTTTTGAATTTATTACATTTTTTCTTTCTTAATATAGATCAAGTTTTAGTTTTTTTTCATCATATTCTCTTAAATCAATAAACAAATTATGAAATAGCTCAGGATACTTTTTAATTTCTTGCATATATACATTATTTTTCTTGATTTTTACAAGCTTATAATCTCTCAGACAGTGAAAATTTTCATTTTTTTCTGTTTTTTTTGTACTTGATAAGGGATTATTATACTTTTACCAGGTTGTGACATATTTTTCTTGCAGTTTGCTTGATACTCATAACTTCAATAAAAATTACTATTTTTATTCTTATCAAAGATAGCCAACTAATATGAAAAAAATTTTACTAATATATGTTAAAAAGAAGAAAATAATAAAAAGTGGATAAATATAATATATATATATATTTTTTATATGTTTGCACAATTAGTATTTCAAGCTGATAATAAAATATTCTGAGTTGATATTTTTTTTGTTTTGACTAGCTGATCCAAGTAATAATTATATAAACTTTCTTATTTATTAATACGTTAATTTTTTAATCCAAATAGCTTTTTATTATGATAATAAAAGTTTTCTAATTTAAAAATTTTCAGAATTGACTTTAGTAATCCTAACTGATTAAGATTTTTATAATTAGTTAACTGATTAAATTAAATAATTAAAGTCAATTTAACTGATTTGATTAATTTCCTTATATAGAAGTTAATATTAATTAGCTAAATAATAAATACATGACTTATAATATATCATATATAGAGATGGATAAATGTACGTATAGTTCATCACTATGTGTATTATGCATACTATATGCATAATATATATATGTATAGTATATATATAATATGCATAATAATCTATATATATATATATAGTAATCAATTAAATACATAATGCAAATTCATAAAAATTAATGATGGTTTTTATTTTTTATAACTATTATATACATTAATTAATAATTATCACTATCACTTGATATTTCTAATATATCATCACTATTATCTGATATATTAAATTATTCATTATTATTACCATTCTGATATTTACTTTCATTATTATCCTGATATTTGCTTTCATCACTCTTATTACCAGCATAATATTGATTGATGCTTATTTCATCATTAATATTTTTTTTGATAATTTTTTTTAATTATTTGGAGTGTTTGTAATTTATAATTACTATAAATATAAACTAATTTAAAAATATGCTTACTACTTAACTAATTTCTTTTTTTGTTATGAAATATTTGCAAAAGCTGACCAGTTATGCAAATGATATTAGAATTGTTAAAATTGTTAAGATACATTATGCTAATTATATTAATTCAGGTACTGCTTGTGCAAAATTCGCAATTCACCAAGTAATTAAATTAATATTATCAATGCACTTTCATGCTAATATATTATTAAAAAGATCTGATTTTGCTTTGTATTGCATAAGTTAACTTCCTGACAAATTGACATTGAGTGAACTTGTATTAGTAATTTCTGGATTTTTATCAAAAAATAATCATTTAACTTCAATTAAGATATTTGGATATACACGTAGATATGACTTACACCAAATTACTAAATTATTGTATTGATATTATTGTTGAAATCCAGTAATATGACCAATTTGATTAAATAGAACTTCAATAATAAAGATGTAGATATTTATGATTATCAATTATATATATATTCTGTATCAGTATAATAATAAATGCATTTGTTTATTGAGTACAAATGTCTTAATTGGTGATGATTTATGAACTTAACTATATGTATAATTGTGTATGGATATTTATAATATCAGTTAATAACTATACGCATAATGCGCATAGGCACATCTCTAGTCATATATGACTATATAAAATGAATTTTATTTAGAATATACTGCAAAAACATTAGAATTTTGTTTAAGAAAAAGAATATTAGATAAACTTATTGGATTAAGTCAATTATATTTTTCAGTTAATATATTTTTAGCTATTGAAAAAAGATATTCAGAAGAAATAGAACTTGTTGGAATTGAAAAATAATAATGAACTTGTTGTACAAGAAAAGAAAAGGTAATAGAATGAGTTTTCCATCATGCAATTGGACAATTTTTTTTAGAAGGTAACAAGTCAGGAAGGTTGAGATAAAGATTCAATTCAGTATAAGATAGTTATGATAAATTTATTATGTTTAGAATATTAAATGAAGTAAAAAAATCTAATATTTCAGAAGAATCATCATTATGTAAAGAAGAAGAAAGTGATTCAGTATTAATAAAGAATTTTAATAAGAATAATATTTGTTCTTTTTTCTCTCTTGATATGAAAGCTAGTGATTTAAATCTTGAATCTAATAAAGATGCTAAAAGATCTAATTCTTTTAGATCTTTTCATCATAATTTCATAGATTTGAGAATTATATCACAAACTTCTTGAACTATTAGTTCATTAATATATAAATAAGAAACATGATGAAGATAAATAAAAAGATCTTCAATTATTAGATATATTGCTGATAGAATAGAATATGTGCTGCCACTTAAAAATCTTGTTATTTTTTCAAATGGATGTAATAGATAAACAAGTTCTTCTACTTTTTTCCAATTATTAAAAGTTAAGAATAAAGTAGTTAATTTATTATCATTTTCATGAATTTGTTAATTATCTTTACATTATATTGCTTCATATAATGCTTTGATCAAATATTTGAAATAGATAAGTCTTTCCAAAACTTTTAAAGTTGAATTCTACCAGATAGTGACATCTTGAATTGGTATGAGAGCTTCTTTTGCTGGATTCAAAGCTTTTTAAATTTGAAAAAACCAAGCTTAATATTTATCATAATAGACAAGAAATAAATTGAGAGCTTTTGCATGGATAATAAGATCTTTAATATCAGAATAATGATTTAAACCATTAGAAACTGCAAGATGAATAGTATATGTGGAATAGAGAATAGATTTTATATCCATATTTCAAAGTGCTTTTAAGATTTTTGCATTATTGTTTGTAACTTCTCCAATAATTTTATCATACAAGCTAATTCCCCATCTATCAAATATATCAGAAAGTTTTGTAGCAATATTTTCTTCTAAATGATCATATGACATTTTCTTAATCATAAGTAAGACTTCATATAATTGAAAATTTTCAGTTAACTAATGAATAGTAATGCCAATATATGATCAGTGAAAACCAGTCCAAAGATCTGTAGTAAAACTGGCTTTTTCCATGGTATAATCAAGTAGTTTGACTAGTTCTTGTCTTGTAAACTCAATACTTTGTCCAATAAGTAATTTTATTGTTGTATTACAAGATGGTTCATAACTAGGATGTAGTGAATGACAAAATTTTTTAAATTTTGTATTTTTCAACAATGTAAATGATTGTAAGTCATCCACAATAAATTCAAGTAGTCGAAAATTAATATATTCTCATTTTGTTACAGAGAGAGGCTTAACATTTTCCCATGATTGTTGAAGCATTTGTTGTTGAGATGATTGTGATTGCAATTTGGTTCCTGGCTGAAGAGATTTTGTATCTTTTGTAATCAAGTGTGCCTTTGTAAGATGATAGGTATAGGATGATGTTGAGGTATTAAGAGAGTAAAATTGTGAACATTTGGCAATGCTACATATTCCAATGCCTTCATTTTTATCACGTTTAAATCACTGCCAAATCCAACTAACATCAATTCTTGTTTTTTTTCTTTTTTTTGTAGGTTTGCGTTGATTAACAAACCAAGAACTAGTAGTCACAGTAGAAGGTGATTGTTCATGTATAACATTTGTCTCTACATCAGTGTTCTGTTCTTCTTCACTTTGAATACTCTCATTATCAGAATTTTCTTGTGTAGATCGAATATCATATCTACTCATAAGCTTAGCAATATCAAGAGGTGCGGGTAAGGAAATAGAACTAGTTAATGGTGAGTGATCAGATAAAAATATCAAGAGTGTGTTCATCTTCTGAAGAAAGTTGGAAGGAAGTAGTTGTAACAGATGATTGTTGTTCATCATTAGATAACAGTGAAAAAATAGAATTTTCAGCCTGACGAAAAGGTGTTATAGTTTCCAATATAGAAGAAGAATCTTGTCTTTGAACTGTCCCAATAACTTCATCAAATATACTTGTACTATTCCTGTCATCCTTTTTAAATTTTTCGCTATGTGGTTCGTAGCTTAAGAACTTCAAAGACTGGCTATTCTTTTTGCGAGCATTTTTTCAAGACATTATTGACGTGACAGATTTTTCTTGCACGGCGTAATGAGTATTTCTAAATATGAAAGGTAGTACTTAATCATGATTAACCGCTTTGAGAAAAACTCTAACCGGTTAAGACCTAACTGATTAGGATCACTACTTGCCTTGCTTTAACGAACTCCTAAATATGGAAGGTAATACTTAACCACGGTTAACCGCTTTGAGAAAAATCCTAACCGGTTGAAACTTTTTAAGCGGTTAACCGGTTAAGGTCTAACCGGTTAGGATCACTAATCGACTTGCGCCACATTGAAGAAATTAGCTAGACTGAATCAGCTAGCCGGCTCATTCTAGTCAATATACATTAAAGCTGCTATAATTAGAAACTTCATAAATTGATATCGTTAACAATTATATGTATTATTATTATTCCTAATTTTGTCTTAAAGTTACAAATATGGCTTCTATAACTAAAAATATATTAATACATATACATGTACATGTTTACCTGTTTATAAAATATAATGTGATTTGATAATAAGCTCAATAACTTTAATAAAAATTTCGTTCTTTGGTTAGTGTATTCCAAAATTAGCAATTTCATAGAGCAGAACTAATTATTTTTTTTCATTTGTTTATAAAACGTAAATAAGATGCAATTAAAAATAAACTTGATTACTATCGTTGTTGTTTTCAAGATACATACATGTATTACGTGAAGCATTTAAATTTGAATTTATTATAAATAATGAGAATTTACTTTCAAAATCCTAAATTAAAATTTTATTTCAAATGGAGAAAAGAAAAATCTCTCTTATTCCACTTTTTCTCACTGCCATACTATCAAATTATTTTGCTTATTCACTTCCGATACCACCGTATGTAAATGTCATTATTTAAAAGTGAATTAATTGTTTAACCAGATTTCTTTATTTACAGAAACTGTGTTTCATGCCGTGTCCCTCCTGTCGCTGTCCCTGTCTTTATCCCCGCACCAAAACCCGATTGCCCTTACTGTGGTGGTAATGGTATTTCTGAAGGAAACATTCCAGAACCATATGAAAATGGAGGATACACCTATGGCAACACATATGGCAATGGAGTATAGCTTGGCACAAACGCACCGGTAGCATAATTCCAATTATATTAACAATGCTAATTTGGTCAAACCTGTTGTTACTATTTCTCTCTTGAAGTTTAAAACCCCCCATAAAAGCAATGGTTTTGTTCTAAACTGATAATTTTAAAGCATAATGTGTACCGATTATATCATTCACTATAAAATAAAATTTGATAATTAAATCATTTATATATACATGTACAGTGTGTTGCAAAAGTCTTTGGACAATCATCGTTCAAAATCAAATTGATGTAACTCACTCAATTTCGATCTAAACTAGACCAAATAAAAAGAGATAAGATATTCGGTACTATAAGAGTTATTTTACTTTCTTTTTTCGCAAAATCTTGTTGATATATTTTCTAAAAAGAGCAAACGAAAATGCCAATGGCCAAGAAAAATACCCATGCCCAAATTATTAAGCATTTCTGGCTTCAGGGCAAAAATGCAGGTGAAATACATCACCTAACAAATATTGCGAGGTTGACTATTTACTATAACATTTCAAAATTGAAGAAAATTCAAAGTACAGTCCATAAAAAACGTAGTGGTCATCCTACAAAAATCACCCCCGAATGCTCAAGATCCATTAGACAGATTGTTCAGAGAAATCCTACAATATTTTTAAGAACATTGACCACAAAGTTATTCAAAAAAGGTACCCAGGTATCTTATAGTACACTTTCAAGACATTTAGCCAAACATGGCTTTGATAAAAGTCTCCCTATGGTGACACCAATACTCATGGTGGCACACAAGAAAAAGCGGGTAGAATGGGCGCAAAATCACCTCAATAACAATTGGAATCGGACAGTATTTTCTGATGAAATAAGTTTTTGGCTATTCAGAAATACTGTACAAGTTTGGTACAAGGGTGAACGACCAGTTCGTCACATCCCAAAAGACCGAACAAAAATTAATGCTTAGGGTGGATTTTGTACAAAAGGTAAAATGAGTCTTTTTTACTTTCAAGAAGATATGACCGGTCTTTTCTATATCGATATCCTAAAGAAATATGTTTCTGAGATCAAAAACATGTTAAAAAATAATTGGTGATTCCAATAAGACAATGATCCAAAGCACACAAGTGGTGTGGTGAAAGAATATCTTCAAAATAACTTCTCAAGAGTAATTGATTGGCCATCCAACAGTCCTGACCTAAATCCCATTAAAAACTTATGGAGTATTGTCAAGAGGAACGTAGAGATATGACAACCAAGAAATATTTCACAATTGGAGCAATTTATGAAAGAGGAATAGGCAGAGATTCCTTAACGTCTTATCAATAATTTAGTGAGGTCAATGAAAGAGCATTGTAAACTTATTATTGAAAACAATGGCGAACGTATTCCTTATTAATTTTTTTTAAAATCATCTCATGCTCTTCAACTTTTGAATAAATTATTAAACGTGTGATTTGAATTAGCTATTGTGGCATAATGATCTAATAATTTTGTCTAAAGACTTTTGCAACACACTGTATATACAGTATATGAATGAGTAGTGCATGTAACAATGCTTAGATCACATGAAAATACATGTATATGCTAATAAACTAGAAAAATTTTCTTAATAAGAATATTTTTTATTATACATAAAGCTATTTTTAACATATTATGATAAGAAAATTTTATTAGAGGAAGAGATAAATTGAAAGGAAAGACATCATCGTAATAAAAGAATTTGTTCTACTGTTTGGCTATAGCTACTGCAAACTTTCTAAATTCCTATCACAAGAACCTCGTCGCTTATATATTAAAACGGGACTAAAAAAATGTGGAATTTGTAAAATAAAAAGTTTTTTATTCTAAGCATGAAATTATTAATTTATTTCATATTTTACCTTTTTTAATTAGACAATGAAATGTCAACAAAGAAAACGAAAAATTTTATTTAATATATTTACGTAAAACAACTGCATTCATTGTACCATCAATTTTTTCTGAGTTTTTCAAATCCGTCAACACTCATGCAATCCCATACCATAATTAAACTATCACCAAACTTCATTGTTGTGGAATGTGTCAGTCTTTTAAAGTTTGTCATATTTTCCAACAGTATTTTCGTCCGTATGACCCAAATATTTATATTTGCTTTCGTCAGATTAATTATTAGATTTTGGTATTTCGTTGCACAAGCAAGTCAGCGTTTTCTGTGTGTCTTTGTGAGTAGTGGCTTTTAAGTTTTATTCTGAACGTATGCTTTTCACGGATAAATTGACTCCTAAGTCATTTTGGAGTCTATGTTGGACTTCGACGGCAGTAGAACATTCTCCGGATGTTATCAATCTGTCATCAATTCGTTCATATCGATCTGAAAGAGAACACAGACGTATATGCACACTCTGCCAAGAAGGATATACGTCCGAGAAATCACAGCATAAGAGCAAGTAAGCCCAGATTACGTATCTGCAAGAAAGAAAAAAGAAACGGGAAGATTTGAAAATAAACCGAAATCTAGCCAGGAACGTTTTAGTGAGGTATTGAATAAAAAAGTTGTTAAATTTTGTTGCAAAATATTATATATAATTAAAAAATATGCTATGAAAGGAATATTTATTCGATGATATGTTGGACTTCGTGTTGTAATTTACTGTTACCATTACTTCGATAATCCGCTAATTCCAAAATTTCGGCATCTGCGTCCCTGTTCCACCAAGTATATTGAGTGGATAAAGAGCAAATAAAGTAATAAAAGAAGTGAATTAAAAGATTTCATAATTAAAATAATAATAATTTATTATAATATATTTCATATTTTTACTTAAAAATAGATGGAATGATTTTTTGTATGTGTCTTATTAAAAATGAGAAATATTAATAATATTTTGATTTTATAATGAAATACTTTATGAGTTAAATAACTATTTATAAGAATAATTATATTATAATAATATTTTTTGTGAAAGATATTATGAAAATAAAATTATGTTGAAATATCACAGAAGATTTTTATAACAATATTATGAAATAAGTTTGTGCTATGTACATTTCTTATCGTTATTATTTTATTAATATTTCATGTTGATTTACAAGCAATTTCTTGATTTTCATTGTCGTCTTGTGAAACAGACATTTAAACAATATCAACACCTGTGAATGTTCATAATGTATATGTTTCAAAATTTTCGATTATCCATGAAAATACTTGATAAATGCTTACCCAGCTTTTAAATGATCTTCAAGAGAAATCCCTTTGCCGTGCAAGTCTTGCTATGGTTTTTTTTCGTTTCGTATTGTTTTATTTTCGTCAACTGGAAATGGAATATTACGATGAAATTTTCGATCGCTCACATATCGAAAAAATTGAATCTTCTGAACTTGACAGATATTCATCACTACTTGTACTAGAAATTTTCTTTGGTTGAAGTAACGTTGTTCGCAAATTTCTGAATGTAAATAATAAATGGCTGTTTTAAAAAGTGACTAAATAAATACTAACAATGAACAAACGATCCCTTTTGTTAGGAGACAGGAATCTGTCATTTTTATGTTTATCGCAACATGTACTTAGTAATTTTCGGCGTGCCAAAAATTGGCCTATTTTGACACGTTATTGATATAGCCATGTACAGTAATCCGCATTGATATGATGTATAATTTTATTCGGTCAATCTACGTTGGTGTAGACAGAAATCTTCGATAAACTCCTAACTTATAAGGAATAAAGTCAACGTATTTACATGTATAAAATTGACCACAGGATTTATTGTTTTAACAATGTTGTTTATAAAAAATTTTTTGCGCTTCCACAATATCAAATTTGAACTTAATACTAACGACATTAAGTGAAGTCGTGATTTTATTTTTTCAAGTGACAACGTACCAAAAATTTTTTGCTAATTTCAGGAGTCGATGAAATTACTGTCCGCCACTGAACAGTATTGCAGCATGCTCAAAATTTCATTATGATCTTTTCGTATAATTGTAAAAGAATTAATTTCAAAATATCAAAGTATTCCGACAGATCCAAGTAACGATTTGATATTTACTATCTTGCGGCGACTTGAATTTTTCATTTTCAATCTTAAAGGATATATTGTTATGCTAAATATCTAAATATATCGATATGTATTATGATTGTCTTCAAATCCAAACATGCAGAAGCTGCATAAATAATATATAAGGTAATAATAAAAAAACTATATTGTGTCCCAAAAGTTTATACAATGGGGACAGCATAAGATCTCACTGTATTATAACTTTAAAAGGAAAATAATATAAAAACCCTCGTATATAATAGCTCTTTAATAAAATTATCATTCTTTATGAGGATTTTTTATTTTATTGTTTTTACGAAATTACAATAGTTTAAAATTTTATAATGACTTCTAATTGCCCAGTTTATTTTACTAATTAAAGATAATAATTTCTAATTGGTCAGTTTAATTATTATGTACAAAAATTGGAGTTTTTGAGCAGTATGTTTTCCTCCATTACAATACGCTTTTTATCGTAAAAAAAATGTACAATCTAGATCTTACTTTGATTATTCAACGAATGCCTTGAATATTGTTTTGATACATTTTGTATATATGTTGCGAAAAAAATTATATAAAAGTCCTTGTCTGCTTCGAGAATTTATTGATACTCGAACGAGGAATCTTTCCACAAATATGAGCAAACTCCATTTCGTTTGTAAAAATGAAGATGATACAGACGAAGAAGTATTCGCGCAATATTATGAGCCTCCTTCTTCAGACGACTTTAAAGATTTAAGTACATGTAGTCCGTTTCTTCTCTTTCGCAGAAAGGTCAATGAAGCTTTGAAGAAGGGTGGAAGAGTAAAAAGTTTAGTGGAAATCTCTAGACTCGCATCAAAATTGTGGGATTCAATGGTTGATGATGAAAAAGATCAATACAATCAATTATCGACTGCATTATCCCGTCAACCCGGTAATTGGAGAAATATATCTTCAATCCGATACCTGCAAATATCAGTTCCCAATTCTAACTTTCCTGGATCCGAGTTATCCCGTCAATTTATCGATGTATCAAATATCTCTTCGATGGAGCATCCAATTCCTACCGCTAACGCACCTGAATCCGAATATTTTTTATATTCCAAAGAGATTTGGACTGACGAAGATTCAAATTTATTTGGATTAGACAATGAATTTTATGTTACAAGGTAATAAGTTGTATATAATTTATTTGACAATTTTATCATTTGTAAAAGAAAAATACTTATATGTAATTATCTATGATTTATTAAATTTTGCGTTGCGTAGGCATTCTAAACGGGGCACAGACCATTTTTAATTCAGACTTCAGACAGAAAATTTGCTATTTGTGCTTAATATGTAATTGACAAATTTTCACTCGTTTAGAATTTAAAAGTGTAATCTTTAAATAAGATTATTAAAAATGATAGTATATGATCACATGACCTTAATATTGCGATCAATAAGTAATTTTAATGATGAGGGAGGTTTTCTTAGCCGTAACCGGATTCAAATCATTGTCGTTATTGACTTTCGCTACTAAATTTTAGCCTTTTTTAGGATGTCGGATAATTTTATTGTTAACGTTAACTGTGCTGTTATTGTTACTTAATTCAGAGATACATGTAATTAATTAAATTTTGTGAACGTTATTACGAATTTCAAGGAAATATCTACATGGTACAATGTATTACATGTACATAAAACGGGTCATTTGCATATACATGTACATGTATTGATACGCATCCCATGTAATATGGCGATAATTATTGTGCTGAAATTTATATAGTACATGTATAATAATCAAGTTTATTGAATAATTGCTCTAAAAATATCTCAAAAAAAACTCTGTACATCTGGTAGTGTTCTTTAAGATTAGATGGTTGAGTTTGGGTTAGAGTTATATAAAGTTATAATTAAAGATTGAATTTCAGCTTCAGCCGCAACATAAAATATTGTAAGCGATTTACTGCATATAGTTCCGCTGCTGAAAAAAGTGATATTCATCTTAAGTTAATTGTGGAGTTTATTATACATGTATAGCTTCATTTATATCAAATGATGATAATTTTATACGAGAAAAAATTCTTCACTGTGAGCCATTCTTCACTATCAGGGATTCACTATAATGAGATTTCTTGTATAATTAAATTATTATTGAAAACTATATCATAAAACATAAAATTTTTATTTTTTAATCAGTGATAGGAGAACTTTGTTAATAAGTTTCAAGCATTAAAATTTAGCTATGGGATTTGAGTATCAATCTCGCAAATGCTTAAACAAAGCACTCGAATGACAGAAATATATTAAACAGATAACAATTATCACAATTTTTATGCGCAACGAAATGATAACAATGAACAATATAGTAGAAAGTGTAATTTCTTAAATTAATACACTAAATAGTTCCTTTAAAGAAATTTTACAATTGTTAATAAGTATTATTTTCTAAAATATTGACGTAATAACACAATAGCTCGTGAATCTTAGAACAAGTTTATATGCGTCCCAACAAGCATTTATGCTAAATTTGTAACGCACTTTTGTAATTCTATTTTTACGGCTTAATCGCATCAAATACTGCGTCACTACTGAATCGATTGAAGATTATCATTTTCAAATAAGGTATCATATGAAATGCTAAATTTTTATTATACACAATGCTAAATTAAAGTTTGTATAAAAATTAGAATGTAATTTTGCATAATGAAATTCAGCCAATCAAAAATAATACATATGATATTTCAGGTGCTAAGAATTTCATATTAAAAAAGCTTAGCTACAAATAATTTTATAGAATAACAAACAAAATAAATACATAATATTATAGTACATATCAAAGATTATTTAATAATGCATTTGTTTAATAGCTTATATTTAAAATAGGATTCCTGTGTATTTGGATCCTTTAGACTGTTTGCATCATATTATATGTTTAATTATATAATCTAACTCTATTCTTGAGTTAAATTATATGACTTGAACTTTCTTCAAATTTTTGTCAGTCTGGTGATCTTTTCTTAACTTTTAGTTAGGAATATTTAGAGTTTGTAAAACTAAACACATATATATATAGCACATCAGAAATCTATGCCAGGTTTTGTTGATCATTAGTCAGATGTGATGTCCAATCATCAGTCCAAATTATTAGTCACACTAAATTTTGTATATATATATTTATTGACCAATCATTTTTTAGCATAAAATTAAACATGAGAAATGGTAAGTGTTCATTAAGATCATATTGAATAATATATTATTTGTAAGGTTAAGAATATTTAAAGTATTACTTAATATCATATTCTTGTCAAGAAATATTATCACAATAACTCACTCAATATACTTCAAGCCAAAATAAGTGAATTTCATAATAACTTGTATAATATGCAATATCAAAAATATTTCTGAATTTGTCTGATTATTATTAATAATATCAAATTGGCAAAAGGAAGAGGAATTATTAGTTTAGAAATGCTAAATAGAAATCTATATATTTATATTGATCAATTATAAAATAATTAATATTATTATTAATAAAAAAATCTTTATTAATGAAAAGATTATTGTTAATAAAGATATAATTAATCAGATTAATTATTAAATAATTAAATATATTAATATTATGCAAACAATTCATTCTATATGTTTATAAATAAACTATTTTAATAAAATAATAGTTAAATAATAATAATAAAAAGCCAATATAAAATCCAATATATTATATAAATCTATTATTTTTATCAATATTTTGATCTAGATTATATTCTTTTTTGTTACAAATTTTTTGTGCTAAAATAGTAAATGAATTACTATTTTCTTTTTTCATATAACTAGAAAATCATCTTTTTATACCACTAGATCCTGCTATTTTTTAGTATTTTACTGATTCAACCTGCACATAAATTTTTGTATTACTTTTAATATGAGTATAAGAATTAATATTATGATTTATATTATAGAAAAAAGATATTAATTATGAATTAGATATGACTTTTGTTATATCACTTAATGAACTTATTAAGAATAATAGAAAGATTTGAATTATTATTCTTATAGTTATTTTTAATTATCTTAATAAATGATTTAAAAGATATAAAATTATCTTCATATACTATATTGAATTTAATTAAAAAAAATAGTTAATTAAAATAATAAATAAAAAATAAACTTAAAGTAAATATACCCATTCTTTAAAGCTAACTTATTAGATTACAACTTTTAAATAATATTATAAGAGTTTTGAATATCATGAAAATTTTGAACTTTGTGAGAGTTTTGAATTTTGTAAGAGTTTGAACTTTGTAAGAGTTTTGGACTTTATTTTAAACTTTATGAGAGTTTTGAACTTTATTTTGAATTTCATAAGAGATAATTAGATTTAAATTATAATTAATAAAGTATATATATATATAATAGTATATAAAAAGAACAATTCTTAAAAATAATTTCTAAAAAATTATTAAGTTAGATAAAAATAAAAAAACTAAATTTATCATATTAAAAATACAATAATATATAAAAGAAGTGATTTTTAGAAGCAATTTCTAAAAAAAATATTAGATTTAGATAAATAAAAGAAAAAAAGTAATTAAAACTTACTATATATAATATATATATATATAATTAAAGTAATTATTAGAAGTTAAAAATAGAATAAAGTTCAATAATTCAATATGAAATTTCATGATCATTGTATCTTGATACTTATATAATACTTTAGATAATCCAATAGGACAAGTATATATATTAATCTTCATATTAATAGTATAAAATAATTCAGAATTCTTCTATTAACTTGAAATCAGATATTTATTATATACTTTTATTTATTAGATTTCTAATATATTAATTATCTCTCAATTTGAATACAAAAATCATTTAGCAATTTGAAAACAATTAGAATATTTATTTGTAATTCCTAGTAAATAGTATTCATAAAAGTAATTTATATTTATAATTATGAAGTGAAATACTTAAATAGTATTGTATATTTAAGTATGTAAAAATATAATATCTTTAAGTAATCTAAAATTACACTCTAAATAGTTATTTATATTATTATCATATAGAAAAAGATTAGAATTATAATCTTCAAGTTACATAATATAATATATCTGGATAATTCATATAGAAAAGTTAGGATATAATATTATATTTGAGATAGAATTTATATAGAAAACTAAATCAAAAGTAGACAAAAAATTATATTTAAATTTATTTTTTATTTAATATTATTGATATTTAAAATTACAAACAGATACAACATCTTTAAATAATAAATTAATATTATATAAAATTAATAATATAATAAATAAAATTAATAATAGATAATACTTATATGGTAATATCTTTGAAAGATACTTATTAATAAATAAATAAAGAAATAAATAATTATAAATAAGAAATATAAAATGAGTAACTTACTAGCTATATTAGTAAAATAAGAAAGAAAAGAAATTCTACTAAGAAATTATCTATAGCTAAAATAACTCAATTATATTATATAACTTTTCTTGACATAATTAGATAATTATGATATAGTAAGTCATATATAATATAGTATGTGTAATAATTTGTAAAATAAAATATAAATCTAATATAATTATTTTAATTTGTTACAATACTCCTTCTCTTAAGAATTAATATTCTTATTAATATTTTAATTCAATAAATTTTTCAAGAGTTTCCAAGTAGAATTGTAAAGAGGATAACCTAGTCATTTGATTAAATATTGAGATTTATTTTAAATGATTTATTTATTCAAGATTACTTCTACTTCATATTCTTCTTCATTAGTTTCAGGTATGATAATTGGTTATGATAATGTTTGATAAATAAAATCTTTATTATCATTAAGATTATAAGACTTCAGTAATGAAATATGAAAAACAGGATGAATTCTCATATATAAAGATAAATCCAATTTATATACAACAGGTAAAATGACTTTGAGAATAG